TTTTGGAAATGGCTTCAGTTCATTCTATTCTTGCTGGCCTCAACTTGGCACCACTTTTAGTATTGTTAAAATTGTTTCTGAGATATTACAATGGAATAGTATAGTTGGCAGTTGGTGTGATATCATTTTTAATCAAAAGCAGCACAAACATCATTTTGTGGCCCAGAATATGGTCAAGGTAAAATAGCCAATTATTCAGCTGCGGTTTACTCCTCTGGCTCCATAGATTCCTTCCAATACCCCACAATTTCTATATAGTCAGCTGTCAGAAGCTGCCAGATCAATCTGGCGTGAACAATGTTATCAATGGAAAAGGATCAATCATCTGTCATTTTTATACAACACTTTATATACACTAGACTAGGAGTTGGAAACTATGCCTCGTGGGGTAAGTCTGGCTAGCTGCCTGTTTTTCTATATCATGCAAGAATGGCTTTTACATTTTTAAATGGTTGAAAAAAAATCAAAATTATTTCATGACATGTGAGAATTATATGAAATTCAAGTTTCAGAATTTGATTTTTTTGGAACACAGCCACACTCAATTGTTTCTGTATTATCTGTGCCTGCTCTTGCACTGCATCGGCAGGAGTAGCTGCAACAGTGAACTTGCAGCCCACAAAGTCCAAAATATTTACAGAAAAAGTTTGCTGACTCCTGCACTAGATAATTGCAGTTTCCCATTACAGATTTTTGTTTGTTTGTTTGTTTCTGGATAGTAATACTGGGAGAAGGGGGATAGCTATTTGCAAATATTTGACAAATCAGAGACCCATCGACTATAAATACAGGCCTTGGATAGAATGTACAAAACCTGGTGAAATACAAGCGGTCTAAACCAACCAAAGAAGCTGTTGGAGAACACAGGGTAACATATACAGTTCCAGCAGCAAAGAAAGACTCTTACTAATTGAGTCATGTGGGACTCTGGTGAGACTTAATCCCAAAGGGAACCCAGTGGAGAGACTTGCTGGCAATGTGAGCAAAGAGCAGGCTGGCTGAACAGTAGATGTGATGGTAAAGTCATCGACAAAGTTCTCCAGAGGTAACCCACTCCTTTACTAGGTATCAAGTCACTTAGTGTCCATATTTATCTGGGTATCTCTACTGGCAAATCTGGAGTTGGACTGAGAAATGGATCTCACAGGAAGGCTTTATAAAGCAGGCTTCCCTAGGGACACATACTTCTCCAACAAGGTTGAAAAAACATTTTCAAGAGTACTCAGAGCCAGAAGTCAGAAATCAGAAGACTGCACAACCACCCACATGATTTTCTAAGTCAAAGATTTGATGAACATTTTGAGCTTTCTGTTTTTGATCAATGGGGCAGGTGGGGTACTGGTGGCACAATGGTTAAGCACTTGGCTGCTAACTGGAAGACTGGTGGGGTGGTTTGAACCTACCCAGCAGGTCTGTGGGAGAAAGACCTGGCAATCTGCTCCTAGAAAGATTACAGCCTAGAAAACCCTACAGCATGTTTTAAGTCACATGGGGTCCCTGTGAGTCAATGGGGTACTGGGAGAATTGGATCAGATCAATTCCTCTTGGGTTTCAGGTGTGCCATGCTTGTTTAGCACTTCATGTGGATTCTGATCCAGAATAAGGGGTGGAGATGGAGGAGAAGCCTGAAGAGATTCATTGACTGATTGGAGCTTGAGAATTACAGTCAAGGTTTGACAGATGGCCAACTCTTCTGACACCTCTAGGAAGCCAGGGGGATGGCCTCTTATGATTAGGTAGAGCTTCCCCTGCTAGGGAAGATACATTTTCTGGAAGAATATTGTATCTGATAAACTTCCATTACTCTTTGAGTATGAGAAATAACCAAATTTCCCCCTGAGAAACTGGTTAACCCTGGTTGTCTCTAAAGAAGGGAATAGATGGTTGAGAATCAGGGATGGGAGGGATCCTTTTTTTTCTATATGGCCTTTATAAAAGATGAAAACAAGAGCACATTCCCCCAGGGAGCTTCATTTGCTTCTTGGGATAGGACGGTGACATATACCAGGGCTGGAGTAGATTATCTCCTTACTCAAGACCATGAGGCAGAGGTAGGGAGCTGGGAGGAAGATCCAAAAGTCAGAGAAAGTTGAGTAAAAAAATCATGATCAAAAAGGCAATTCACGGATCAGCACACCAAAGGGACCAAAAGCAGGTACTGGAGGTGTGGTTCAAAACCAGAAAATGAAGTACCAGGCAAACAGAGGAATAAGAACCAACTGGTGGAGAATAAATTGAGAAGTGTCTGAAAAATGACAAAGACAAATGCATGGGGTATGATGCATGGATAGCTCCATGAGACTAAGCTCAAGAGGCCTGGGAAGTAAGGTACAGGCTAGGGCAAAATTCCTCAAGGTGAATAAATGTGAGGTCATTAAGTGTTGCCTTCTGACTCATAGCAACACTGTGTATAGGGTTTTCAAGGAGTGGCTGGTGGGTTTGAACCACTGACCTAGTTGGTTAGCAAGCCAGTGCTTCCCTACAGTGCCATATGAGGTAATATATGAGAATTCCCATTTGAGATACTCCTGTCTATTCTAGCCTTAGAGCCAGTGATTCTGAGCAGCCATGTGAGAACACTTTGTGATGGATGTATATTAGGGATAATTTTACTTTCCCCAAATCCAAGGTCATCTAGGATTCCTTTCATTGAATATTTTCAGGAAAGCCTTGAAAATGAGCCAATAGGTTCTGTTAACAGTCCAACCTAACTACTACTAAGGGGTGACCTAAGGTAATAAATGAAGTTCTTTTCATGATAACCACCTGGGACAATTTGAATTCACACTCCTGATGACCTGTTTCCCTGGCTCTATAATCAATACTGTCTGGGCCAGCATTGTTTCTGATATCCTACATTCCAGCATGAATTTCAGTCCAGCATCTCGGACTAGGTCACTCCAGCCCTGTTCACAGGACTAGAATAAAACCTAGAAATAAGTTCTCTCAAGGACTCTGTGATATATGTTGTGGGATTCTGGTGTGGGATACAATGTGCAAAATTTACTACTATCTGAGCAAGGGTTAATATGAGGTTCAGCTATGAGACTGCAGAAGTTAATTGTGGGGGTTTTGTTCCTGAAAGGCAGTGCTCCTAGTGGGGGAACGGAAGACCTCAATTGACTTAGCAAGATTTAATGGTCCTGTACTAGAATGTCTAGAAAATTGCTAAGTAGGTGGAAGCTGTTGCTTCTTTTAATAGTTTCCTTGCACGATGTGTTTTATTTGTGGGACAATAGCTAGCATTCAGGTTGCCTCAAAACTCACAGATGTTATCATTGGAACTCTTAATTTTTTAAAGGGAGTAGATGGTGAAGGAACAGAAATAAAAATAACTGAACTGAATAACTGTTGAGCATTTATTAGCAACCAATATTGTTTACTTCCTTACTAATATTGTTGTTGGTTAAGTGCCGTTGAGTCGGTTCCGACCCATAGCGAACCTGCATAGGGTTTCTGAGGCTGTAAATCTTTACAGGAGCAGAAAGCCTCATCTTTCTCTAGTGGAACTGCTGGTAGTTTTGAACTGCTGACCTTGAGATTAGCAGCCTGATTCGTAACCACTACGGAATAGGAACTATTTTATCTAAAACTCCTTGGGTAAAATAAATGCTGTTCCCATTCCCTACCCCCTCTCAGGCATTTTGAGATGCTTCCAGAACATGGTACTGCCTGACACCCACTTGGGACAAGTTCTATTCTGTAAATCTTGGCAGAGAGGCAAGAAAAGGAGAGTTTGAACTTACACAGACTTTTTTTGGGTCAATGGGAAAACTGGATAATCAAGTAAGTAGGTTATTATCAGGCTATCCGAAGACTTGGGGGAAGCAATTTATAAACTACTAGCACAGAGTTGGGGACACAGGAGAGGAAACAAATCATTTCAAATTGTTCATCTGCAACACCACTGATTCCATTTTAGACTTTGTGATTTCAGCCAACAGTGCCATCATTTTCCTACGGACACAGGTTCAAAGCCTCATGCTCTTCCACCTGTCTGGAAAGCTTGCCCTAATTTCCTCACCCCTTGTCTAAGATTTACCCTTCTTAATGGAAACAGTTCAAAACCCACCTCATTCATGAAGCCCACCTTACCCTTGGTGATCCTGTTCCATAGCTTCTTATCATTAATACCTAGCAGTGTTCTAAAAATAATTTCACCGTCGTCAAGCTGATTCCGACTCATAGAGACCTTATAATACTGACGAGTACTATCTGACAACATAGGTGTTAGTCACTAGGAGCAGGTTGTTGTGTGGGCATCAATACATAGGCAGTCAAATCCCTAATTCAAGGTCAAGACTACGTCACCTGACCACACCTTCCCCATACATCACAGACTTGGTTTATATTTCCAAGGGCTTGATCCTCTTAATGCAGCAAGGACCTATCCAACTGAGTGACAGTTCAAAGCACAAACCCAGCTCTTCTGTGAGGGATAGGTCACTGTGTAGAGTAGTACTGGTGGCCAACCCATCAGTTTTGAGGGGCTCCCACTCAGTCATTGGATCAGATCAATCCTTAGGCCCAACACAGCGCATTATGTCAGCAAAGCACTGTCTTCTTTTTGTACCATACCTCAGGCCCTGACTACAAAGCAGGCTGGAACTGTAGACCTTCTTTGTGGTTCTTCCAGAAGAACATTACTCCCTGGGCACAGAGATAGCCACTCCAGGTGTCCTGTTTCCACCTCTTAGTAGCACGATCCCCTGATGCAGAATGTTGAGAATCAATGAATAACACAGTCACTGCAAGTTAAGGTCTGGGTAGTAAAGAGATTCAAACCTGTAAAGCAAAAGAAACCAAGAACATGGAAGTACCAAAAGTCAACATCCAAGAGTTCTTCAAAATTGTGGAGAACAAAGAAGATAGCCCAATAGTCCAGCAGAGAGTAACTAGGAAGGCCATGACACAGACGTGGTAGAGAAGACAAAATATATGCATAAGAAATTTGTAGAGGGTGAGCTTCCTAGCTCATGTTCAGCTACTTGACATTCCCTTCACCATGGTGTGAACCAATCCTGATCTACCCTGGTGGGAAGGCTTCCTGAAGACGAAACCTGCAGAAGCTGGTTGGTAGGATAGTGGGTTTTGGAATAGCACGAAGGCAGAGGCATTTCCCGACCAGCTTCACTCTGAAGATGATGCCATGTTTCAGAACTTGTTATCTTTTCCCTCACAGATGAAGATCTTTCCCCACAGTCCTTTGAAAGATCTGACTGAAAGTCAAGTTTTAGAGGTTTAGGCTCATCCTTCAAAATACCCGATATAACTTTTGCAGACACTTTCCTCATGTTCAAATTTTCTTTCAGAATGAGTCTAACCGTTTCTTTATCTAAATTTAACTCTTCGGCCATCATTCTCACTGTTAACTGCCTGTTTGAACAAACCAAGTCCTTGACCTTCTGGATATTTTCATCTGTCCGGTGGGTGACTGGACGTCCACTTCGCGCATCATCTCGAACATCTTCCCGCCCTTCTTTAAACCTTTTGTGCCAGTCAAAAACTCTGGCCCTCGACATGACTTCATCCCCATATGCTTCTTTTAAGAGATGACGAGTCTCACTTGCAGACTTGTTCAATTTCACGCAAAATTTGATGCTAATTCTTTGTTCTAAATAACGGTCACTCATTTTGCAACGTTAACAGGCCACGATTGTGAAGGGGTCAATTTCTATAGGGCCACCGACAGAATCATGTTGCTATTCCTCTGGAAGCCTCATAAGAAAATTACCTCTAATCACTTTATGACACAGAGTAAGGGCTTTTAGGATTTTATGCTCCTCAGCTTCAAGTCGAGGCTGGGGAGGCTTGTTCTGAGAAGCAGGGGCCAAAGAGTAGCTACAAAGCTGTAGAAATGAAATTCTCTAGTCTATGTCTGCATCCAACTCATGCACGCAGCTCTGCCGGGAGTTTGCAAGTCAGTCACCAAGGTCATTAAGATTCCGCGGCCCTTAAGAGTCTATGGTGATTTCTGTAATAGAGGCCTAAGTGGTGACATCTTAAGCAAGCAAAGATGCAACGATGATGTAACGTGCAAGCTCGCCCCAGATTACCAGAATCCCGCGCACAACAAACCTACCCGAGCAGCCAGGGACTCGCCCGCCCAATAGTCCTGGGGGACATACCCGCATGCGCAATGCCTTCCTCTAGCTAGCTAGGCCATACGCAGGCGCACTGCGGCAGCACCGCGCCAGGTCACGCCTTGGCTTCTCCACACCCCAGGCAGGCGCGCGTCTTTGCGCGTGCCCGCTAGCGGACAAGTTGGCGGAAAGGAGGGGGCGGAGAAAGAAGGTTGAGGGAAGAGAGGGCACCCCCGGGCGTCAGGGTGCATTGTGGGAAGGAGGCGGCAGCGTCCCGGGCGGGCGGGAGGTACACCGGCGGTGGCGGTAAATCCTCCCGGCCGCTCACAGCACTGTGGAGCCGTGTTCCCAGCCCGGCCTCGGACCGCGGCGCC